GATACCGTCCAAGGCAGTGCGTATTTCACCAAGCTAGATCTGAGGTCCGGTTACAATCAGATTCGAATAGAAGAAACAGATATTCCGAAGACAGCAATAAATACCCCATTCGGTCACTTTCAGTTCACAGTGATGGGTTTCGGCCTAACAAATGCCCCGGCAACATTCCAAACCTTGATGAACAGTGTCCTCCAGCCATACCTGCGTAAATTCGTTGTGGTGTTTCTAGACGATATCCTCATATTCAGCAAATCATGGGAGGAGCACCTTGATCATGTCAGAACCATCTTAAACGCCCTCAGGAGGAATGAGCTATATTGCAAACCGTCTAAATGTGAATTCGGCCGGACAGACGTTCTGTTTCTTGGGCACCGGATAGACGGCCAATGCATTTCTCCAGATCCAGAGAAGATCAAGGCCGTGCATAACTGGCCTGTCCCGACGACGGTCACGCACGTAAGACAGTTTCTTGGATTCGCTAATTACTTTCGAAGGTTCATTAACCATTTCTCGGCCATCTCCAAACCCCTGGAGGAACTGACAGGGAAACATGTGCGCTTCGAGTGGAATCAGACTCGACAGGAGGCATTTGAGCGATTGAAGTCTGCTCTGCTGGATGCACCAGTGTTGCGACTAGCAAACGTCAGTCAGGATTTCCGCGTTGAGACTGACGCAAGTGACTTTGCTGTGGCAGGAGTCTTAACGCAGCAAGCAGAGGACCAGTCCTGGCATCCTGTGGCTTACGTGAGCCGAAAGCTGTCTTCTGCCGAACGGAATTACACGGCCGCCGAGCGAGAAACTTTGGCTGTAGTGTACGCCCTGCAGTGCTGGCGAGTCTACCTATTTCGCCACTTTCAACTCTACACCGACAACATGGGAGTTGTCTACCTCAGGACCAAACCAAACTTAACCAAGAGAGAGGCTCGATGGATTGAATTCCTGGCCGACTATGACTACACGGTACATCACAAGCCAGGGAAGTGTAACATAGCAGACCCGTTGTCACGTCGACCAGACTTGGAACTGAATGGAATCGAGTTCTCTCTGGATGTGAATCAAGGAATTGCGAATCAGATCTCAGCAGGGTATGATAGTGACCCAGAGCTTTCGCCAGTAATCAAGCGCTTGATGGCTTGCAGCGAAGACGCCATGCATGAGCGATACGTCTGGAACAGTGTGGACCGGCGGCTGTACCTAGTAACATCGGGCGATGCTCGCCTCTGCATTCCTCGCGGTCCGGTACGGCTGCAACTGCTCAAACAGAATCATGATTGCCTGACGGCCGGCCATCCGGGGAGAGACAGGACCTACCTGAAGCTGAGCAGATACTTCTATTGGCCAGGCATGAGAAGTACTGTGAAGGACTTCGTTAAATCTTGCGACCGGTGCCAACGCGTAAAGGGTAGCCAGACCAAGGCAGGACTGTTGCAGTCCCTTCCAGTCCCCGAACAGCCCTGGACAGACATCAGCATGGATTTCATCATGGCACTGCCGCTGACCTGCCGAGGACATAGCGCCATTCTAACCTTTGTGGACCGTCTGACGAAGTATGTGCACCTGATCCCGACGACTGTTCATGTTGACTCTAAGGAGGCAGCCCGATTGTACGTGGATCATGTGTTTGCTGCCCATGGCTTGAGCAAAACGATAGTTTGTGATCGAGATCCGCGATTCACGTCGGCGTTCTTCAAGGAGGTTTTCAGTATTCTTGGCGTGGAGCTAAAAATGAGCACGGCCAACCACCCGCAGACCGATGGCATGACTGAGCGTGTGAACCGTGTCATTGAGGATACGCTAAGAGCTTTCGTCAACCATAGGCAAAACAATCGGGATGAACTCCTATCGCTATGTGAGTTTGCGATCAACAATGCCGATCAAGCGTCAACAGGTAACACGCCATTTTTCCTCAACCATGGATGCCATCCAGTTACTCCCTCGAGCTTATTGACGAAGCAGAAAGCTGGAGCTGGCATGGACACGAATGGTCCGCTGTCATGGCTGGATGGCCGCGTAGAGGCACTACGTGAGGCACAGGATGCCATCGTGGCGGCGCAGGCCCGGCAATCATTGTATGCGGATCGAGGACGGGTGGAGGACGCCCTGAAGGAGGGTGATGAGGTGTTGGTCTTCAGGGACTTCCTGCTGACGCCCGAGGAATGAGACAGGCCTTCACACAAATTAAGGCTCAAGTGGTATGGGCCGTTCAAGGTGCAGAAGAAAGTGGCCCCGAATGCGTACAGATTAGCTCTTCCAAGAATCATTCGGGCCCATCCAGTGTTCAATATTGCTGCCCTTAAGCTGTACCATGGCAATGAGATACCGGGCCGTACTCAGCCGGCACCTCCACCCCTAACCGATGCGGATGGCCATACGCGGTACATTGTCGAAAAGGTGTTGTCGCACAAGAAGAGAGGACGGCGCACGCAGTACCTAGTGAAATGGAAGGGCTACCGAGATGCCACCTGGGAGCCGGAGGAATACTTGATGGATGAAGCAGGAAACGCTATTATTCCGCTGAAAACCTACCTGGACCGTTTTTCATAAAATTGCTATTTAATTGGCAGCCACAGTTGTATTGCTAGTTCTACGTGTTGCAATAGAAATGTAGCATTCTGCATGATTAGGATAGTGCTTCCCTGCCAGCCAGGCGTTATTTGCAGAGGACATGCACTGGATCTTGAGTTCATCAGTGTTGTTTTCGGCTACCATGCATTCCACATATCCATGCATGATCATTAGTTACCATAACTGTTCCTTCGAATTGGTACTGTTCTGACAGTTGAGAGGGGGGAATGGTGTAACAGATTCACTGTTACTACTAACACTAGGAATAGGATACACTTATCACCTGCTATTATCACGCTGCTGCTGTTAGGTGTTATGTCCATCATTGCTTGTTCATGTATATAAGAATGCATTATGGCAAGGATCATTGCTTATTCCAAGAATGACTACTGAAGTTAGTTGGACTGTTACAGAAGCGTGTAATTGATAGCAAAAGTAACAAGTTAGTACACTGTTTCAATTTATATATAAACACAGCCTCTGTGCTACGCTTCCGAGTCCACAATGGACGAAACAACAGTTCCACCCGCAGATTGAGTAAATTACAGGTTATGTATGCAGCATTAGTAACAAATACATGATACTGGTTCAGAGTGGTGTGAGCCGTGGCGTTCACACAATGTTTGGGAGAATGATGCTCCTTGGTTTAGTTGCTGGCGACTAGAAAACAGCTGACCTAGTTGATGGCCAAACTCGTTGCTCTCTCATCCAAACAATGTGCATGTGAAACAAAACCCATCACACACTTGGAAACGCTCAGCCAGGTGTAGGTTTCCAGCCAGTAGCAACTGAACCTTATGCACTGGCCACGTACTTTCATCGCCAAGAAGCCCTACCGTATGCATGGACTGGTAAACCTCCTAGGTGGTCGGAAATGGTGCAGCAGTAGCTCAAACGTCTCCCTTGAACTTAGCGGAAACTGGCAACTTCAGCCACGAGCCCTGCGCACCACCCACTGTACTTGCACTTCTCTCTGTTTCCGGATCATCAAACGTTCACAAAACGCCGGCATTGTCAAACAGTTGCTGAAGAAGAGTACCGGCTTCAGGTCGCGCTGCAAGTTCCGGAGAATCACCTTCTACAAGACAACTGGGATCATTCTCAGGTGACTTCAACTCCCCCAATGTTCCAGACTGATATTGGGAGTCGGAGATTCTCGGAGAGTCCACACTTTCGGGCTGCCCTGAAGCGAATTCGCCGCCAGAGTCGACAGAACCGGACACCGACACAGCGTCAGCGCTCAAAGAGTTGTCTGAACAACCGCTGTCATGACGCTTGGAAGAAGTCGCTGAAAACAAATCTCCAAATTTCGTTTCGTTAACGCGCTTCACACATGTACCTGCCACACTGACAGAACTTGGAAAATGGTGGCGAAGAATAAAAAGAAAAAGGAATCAACCTGGAAGCTTTCGAAACAAAAGGACTGTGACTTTCCGACTTCGATTTCGACTCTGGTTTTGCTAGTCCAAAAAATGGGTGTGAATCTGCACTGCACCGGTGCTGCGCAGCATTGTTGCAGTGTGGTTCACACAGCGAGTGCGAGCAGCGGTTCAAAGAAGAACAAGCCTATCCTCGAGCCTAACAAATGCATGTCCTACCCAATGCTAGACTAGATGTCCTACTTGTAGATCCTGCGAACTCTTCTTCAGTTAACAGTAGACTCCACGCGTGAAGTCAGTGCCTTTAGACTTATGCATGAACTGGCAGTAGTACAGTGCATTTCGACATGTCCTGGCCAACCATGTATGGATACCTGACTGCAAAGTATCCACTCTGGCTACCCGGGTCGCCTGCTCATACACTCCTCGCTAGAGTCTCTCCCTCCTGAACTGTTCTTCTTGTCCAGCGAGGACTGCGCTACCTGTCATATTTGTTGCTAGAGGAATGTTTAGTTGAAACAAACAGATATGAAGCATAAACCTAGAGACGCATCCTCACATGATACCGAAATTGGTCATGGAGAAATAATCAGTCCTGTAGCCGACCCGGATCCGGACCACCCCTCAGGAGCTGGCTCCGGGCCTAAGGTATATCAGCAGAAATATGAAGAGAAGACAAACCAGATGACTCCAAGAAAAATTATAATGAGAACAACAGCACATCAAAGTTCTGCAATGCATCTTTGCCTCAGCATGAGAGTTTGCCATCAAAAGAGTGACAACAGACCCGGTAACCTGGACAAACCAACACACCTTATACAACTGGGTTAGCAAAGCAGACTTTCATTCATGAAAATGATAGATTTTCCTCTATCATAACAGAGAATTTACATGTAACTAATTACTTACATCATATCAATAATTGGAGGTGGGCAGGGGGGGGGGGTTCGAAAGAGGCGGGGGCACATCGTCCATGCATATGCAAAGTATACATGATAGAACAGTAGCACTTCCTCACAGGTCATCCCAGTTCTAGTTGTACAGAGTAACACTTACGTAGACAGGTAGGTTTGGGTTGAGACCATTGTCTAGTTGCTGTACATGTCACTGTGAGTGCACCACTTGGTATGTTCTGCATCTTAAAACCTGGGTTGCAGGTGTATCTCACAGTCTTTTCAAAGTCAAATCCTGTATTTGTAGCTTGACCATTGGCAGGGTGACCAGGATTTCCACATGTTACCGCTGATAGAGCAACAACACAATTCTGTCAGGCAAAATAGTGCATCATATTACATTCCAGACTAGCGGGAAGAAGATGACGACGTCAACTAATTCAGTATCTGCGCACACGAATATGTTGATGTTGTGCGTGTGACTTTTGATGTCAGGTATGACATCAAACGGACCGGTTCCATGCCTAGCATGTGGGTCAGAAGCATCCCGCCAAATTTGAACGATCACGCTGACAACCATACATTGGGACTTTCACTTTCACAGTATCTTTTGGACTCTTTCTCACTCCTGTATGCAGCCACACCATGCATGCTCACATTCCTAATACACCTCACTCACACACAAACCCACATACACACGCATACACACATGCACACACCCGCACATATTAGATATTGGCGTCCGGTTTTGTACAATTCGTTTTCGCAAAGCTTCCCCCTTCATTTATCTCTGATATTGCTGATCTACCCAAGTTGGGTGGTGTGTTGCTTTCCTGCTTCGGATTGTAGTCAGACCGCATTGTTATGTTATTAACTGGTCTCGTCATCGGCCTGTAACAGTCGGCATTCTTTGTTGCCGCGGGACTTAGCTCGTGCACATTTGGCTGCGCTCACCTTCCCCTCTTCGGTCCTACGTAAGCATGAACTTTCTAAGTTGGAAGGCTGTTGGTTTGCTCACTGGAGATGTGTTAGAGCTAGGTCTCGGGTCGCTGAATGCCTCAGTAGCCTGTCAGTTTTGTACCCTATTATCACACTTTCTGACCGTTTATCATCTTGTTACAGTCGTGGATAGTTGCTGCATAACTCGTTCTCATGTGTTTTTTTCTCTTTTTACAGTTATTACTGGCTCAGTATCCGAGTTTAAAAAGAACTATATTTCTCGTTTCTTTCCTACGTCAGCCAACGAGAAATGAGACATAACTTCCACAATTGATATTCCGAATTTTTGGATGAGAGGAGTGGTTTGAAACCTGAATACTGCTTGCTCCAACAATTCTTTGGAGCCAGATCCAGTTGAAGTAGTGGCAAGAATCTGTCCTCCAACTGCTTAAACGATAAAATTAATGATTCGATCTGAGGGTGCGTGAGATCGACCGGCTCGGTTGAATTTGGAGTATTGAAGATATTTTCCGAGATGGACATAAATTTTACACTCCAGGGATGGAGTTCCTACGGAGGTGGAAAATTCTGCCTTACTTAGTCTCGATGTGACATAATTTTAGCACAGGATCTAACTCCGATCCTGCACTAATGACAACGTGGAATTTGTATTTGGACTGGGGGGGGGGGGGGGGAGGACTGACAGGAACATATCGGCCATGCATATACAAAGTAAACGTGCTAGGACAGCGTCACCTCCTCAAAGGTCATCCCAGCTCTAGTTGTACAGAGTATCACTTACGTTGACATGTAGGTTTGGGTTGAGACCATTGTCTAGTTGCTGTACATGTCACTGTGAGTTGACCACTTGGTATGTTCTTCATCTCGTAACCTTGGTTACAAGTGTATACTGTAGTCTTTCCAAAATAAAATCCTGTACTTGTAGCTTGACCATGGGCAGGTTGACCAGGATCTCCACATGTTACCGCTGTTAGAGCAACAACACAATTCCGCCAAGAAAAATAGTGCATCATAGTACTTTTGAGGCCAGCGGGAAGAAGATGACGATGTCAACTGATTCAGTATCTACGTACTCGAATGTGTTGTGCGTGTGACTTTTCATGTCAGGTATGACATCAAACCGAGAAGTTCCATGCCAAGCATGTGTGTACGAAGCATCCCGCCAAATTTGAATGCCGTACTTTGAACGGTCACGCCGACAGCCATACATTAGGCCTTTTACTTTTGCAGCATCTTACACCTTTACCTGGTACCTGGTTCAAGTCCTGCCTTGGAGCGGTTTTTCCAGCCGTGCTGCTAACCACAGTTGGCCAGGCACAAGGGTACATGGATGCAGCTAATGGGGTCGTTTTCAGCACTTGTGCCAGTGGTTGTGAGACTTATCCACTCACCCCCACCGTTAGGCGCTGCATCTGCTGCTAGGGTTTATCGGGTGTTAGTGGCCGTCGTGAGTTCCCTTCGGGAACGGACACGATAATTTACTCTTTTTTTACCCACCATTAAAATTTGGAATTTTTGGATGAAAGGGGTGGTTTGAAACCTCAATATCGCTTTTTCCAACATTGTGCGCTTTCGATTACACGCATTTCGGTCAATTCTAGAATCAGTTATTGTTGATGCACAGTTCGATTCCAAAAAAAGTGACAAATTCCGTCGTTAGAATTGATGTAGAAAGGAAAAGGACATATGGATACGAGTTAAGAGTAACTCTCCATCACTGTAACTGGATACTCTATACAGTCAGAAAGTGCAATAACTAGGCACAAAACTGACAAGAGTACTGAAACATTCGACGTCCTGACACCTAGCTTCAACACATCTCCGTAGCGCTAACCGACAGCCTTCCAACTTGGAAGGTTCAAGGTTATGAAAAGACCAAAGAGGGGAAGGCAAGCGCAACGAAAACGAGCAAAAGCCACAGTCCTAACGGAACAAAGAATGTTGATTGTTACTGGACGATGACGAGACCAGTACGATATTTGACAAAGCGGTCTAACTACATTCCAAGTTGGAAGGCTGTCGGTTAGCGCTACGGAGATGTGTTGAAGCTAGGTGTCAGGACGTCGAATGTCTCAGTACTCTTGTCAGTTTTGTGCCTAGTTATTGCACTATCTGACTCCTCCATGCCGGGCTTCCACCTACCCCTCCGACTTGACCGATCTGCTCAAGCCGGCGGAGTTGCAGTCTGGGTCCGGGACTCCCTCTCCTTTGACCACCTGAGTGACATCAACTGCCATGGCCATGAGGTCATCTGGCTTCGCCTGCACCTGGACAATGGCCAGAAAGTAGTTGTATGTGCCGTGTACCGACCCGGGTCGTGCCCTGGACAAGATGTCTCTCTGCTTGAGTATCTTGACTCAGTCATGGATCAAGCTCGATCCCTCGGGAACAGCGTTGTGATAGCTGGTGATTTAAATGTTCATAATGAAAGCTGGCTATGCAGCACGAAGGCTACACCAGCTGGTGAATACATGGAAGAACTCTCTGCGTTCCACGGGCTCCACCAGCACGTTACTCAACCGACACGTGGTGAGAACACCCTGGACCTCATACTCGGCGACTTCTCGGAGACCTCAGTGGTGGTAAATGTACTGGACCCCATTGGAGCATCAGACCATGCCACCGTTGTGGCCACTTTTGATGCCACCCCACTCCGCGAACCACCGACTAAACGGCGCTTTTGGAGGTATGCTCAGGCAGACTGGGGCCGGCTTCGGCACTTCTACTCAACAGCAAACTGGGATATATCAGAAGACCCCGAGGCGTCCTGCAGATCAGTAACCGCTGTTGTCATGGAAGGCATGAATCGCTTCATCCCACACAAAGAACTTCCGACGAAACCAACAGATCCATCCTGGTGGATGCCGGAATGCTCAGCCGCTACCCAGGCAAAGAGGAATGCATGGAACCGTCTCAGGAGACACCCCACCTCAGTGCCACCAGCAACTCATTGACTACAATGCCAAAGTCCGAGCCTCTGCCAATTGCCTCCGTCTCGCAAAGCAGGCAGAATCTGCCCGCATCCGAGATCGGCTCAAACATGGATCACTGCGAAACAAGCAATTGTGGTCACTCCTGAAGCAAGCTGAAGGCTCTGGCCACAGCTCGTCTATCCCTGTCCTACGCAATGCCCAGGGCAGAGAATATGTCACCAACCAGGAAAAGGCTACTTGCTTTGGAGAATTCTTTGCGAGCAAATGCAGTCTGGGTGATCAAGATCTACAGCACTCCGACCTTCCTGACCTTCCTCCTAGGTGTACATCTGCCCTGACAACTGTCCGATTTCGGGAAGTAACAGTCCAGCGCCAGCTCCGCCAGCTGGATCCGACCAAGGCTACCGGACCCGATGGCATCCCTGCCAGAGTTCTGAAGCAGTGCTCAAAAGTTTTGGCTGCACCACTTGCCAAGCTGTTCTCACTCTGTTTCCGGTGCCATGTCCAGCCCTCTCTCTGGAAAGTAGCCCGTGTGGTCCCGATACACAGGAAGCAATCTCACTCTGCTGTTAAGAACTACCGACCCGTGTCCTTGTTATCTGTTGTCTCCAAAGTCATGGAGAAGATTGTCAACACTGCCATAATCAATCATCTTGAGCATGAAAAGGCCCTGTCCATCCACCAGTACGGATTCCGGCAGGGGCTCAGCACATCTGACCTTCTCACGTCTCTCAAACACTCCTGGGTCTCCGAAGTCAACCGTGGTGGCGCAGTTCGCATGCTGGCTGTAGACATAGCAGGAGGATTCGACAAAGTTTCACACTGAGGTTTGCTCCACAAGGCTGCGTCATAGGGCATCGCTGGTCCCCTCCTTAGCTGGCTGTCTGACTACCTGTACGACAGGAAGTTGCAGGCAGTAGTCGGCGGAGCATCTTCAGAATCATACAAGATTGATGCTGGGGTCCCACAAGGGAGCATCCTTGAGCCCACACTGTATTTGCTGTATGTGAATGACGCCTGCGACGTCCTACCGGAAGGGATCACTGCGGCTATTTACGCAGATGACACCACTCTCTATGCTCACATCCCAACGCCACATGCTGTGACAGAAGTGTGCCGCAACCTCCAAGCTGGTGTGGATGCACTTGCTGAATGGGGTGCTCAGAGGCGCGTCACTTTCGAGCCAACAAAATTACAGGCCATGACTGTGTCCCGCCACCGCAGACTCTGGGAGACAACACCCATCCAGTTCAACGGCACAGCGGTCCCGGAATGCTCGCGTCTGAAGCTCCTTGTAGTGACGTTTGATGCCCATCTATCATATTCAGAGCATGTTCCAGGAACTGCAGTGCGTGCCACACAGCAAATTGGTTTCTTCCAGAAGGCGTGCCATGTCCTGGACCCACCGGGCCGGGCCACAGTATACCGGGGGTTCATTCGGCCTCTAATGGAGTACTGCCCACTTGTATGGATGGGAGCTGCGGCTACCCATCTCTCACAGCTGGACCGAGTCCAGCATCGTGCCCTAACCCTGATTGGGACAGGGGGCAGGGGCTGCAATGGACACTCTGTCCCTGCGGCGCTGTATGGCCGGCCACACAACCCTGTACAAGCTCCATTACATCACAAGCCCACCAGCTCTTGCAGCGACACGCCCAGCCAGAGCCATCGCACCCGCCATCGCGCCTGCCACACGTCGCCGCTCGGCAGCCAACCTTGCGCACGAGCTTCAACTCCAGACAGCCCTACCTGCCAGATCGTGCAATGTTGCGCTGCGCTCTTTCCCTGAGTGCCTCATCGAAGCCTAGAATGAACTGCCAGCCACTCTCCTCCGCGATGCACCGTCTGCCAAAGGGATTCAGCAGTTCCAGGTTCTGACCTACCGCTACCTGAAACGGTCGGGGTGGTCATTGGCCACGGACATCGCCCCCTAGGCTACTGCCAGTACGACCCTGTTCATGTTCTCGGAGCACTCCCTTCTCATCAAACTCCCAATCCATAATATACTATGTCCTTATCTCTCTCTAACTCTCCTCCATTCTCACTCTAATCTTTCGTCAAAACTGCACGGCAATCAGCCTCTACTTTTGCCTCAGCATCATGATCTTGATACTGCTATCTTTTGTACTTGTTTGCGTGCTTGTTTGCACTCATATCTTGGAATAACTCGCAAACTAACAATTAACATTCTACTCCCCATGCTAGAGTATAGAGTAGACACACACGAGTGCAGCACGCGACACACCAAAAGACAAGAGAGTGAGTCTGGAAGAATGGGAATGTCGGGCAGAGAAGCTGGCCTCAATTGAGTGCGCGTTAATGAGTCGTGTGGTCGGCTTACCAAGGGCAGGAGCTGTATAATGACCAAGTGGGTCGGCCTGCGCCGAGCAGGAGCGGTTTGTGACCCATGCGAATTGGTGTGTCGGCCTGCGTTGAGCAGGAACGGTTTATGACCCATGCGAGTTTAATAGTAGTGCGGGAGAGGCCAGTTACGGAGGAGTGCCCGCATCCGTGTGTTTCAAAATATGTGGAGTGGAGTGTAAGAGTAAGAAATGGGATGAGGAGGGTGGGTCAGAATTTGAAAGCTGACTGCAGGCAAGGAAACTGGAAAGACAGCAAGCTCTCTTGTGTGCACAGGAAATCTGCGCATGCGCAGAGCGTGGGCATGTGATGTCTATGATACACAGCAGTATGTAGAGAGAGCAAGATCATAGTCGTGACACACGTAAGGAGGGTTATGCAACCCGTTATAAAGGCCAACAGCGAAGCAATGGTACGTGACTGTTAACAACGGTTAACTCCTACGTTAGCCGAACATGTTTCCAGATTTCCTCCCCTTCCTCCTCTCTTTCCTACCCTTAGAGTTCATTCTCTCCTGCTCCCCGCCCTTCCACTCCCCGTTTTGTTTCCTTTGGTGCACATGTGCAGCTGTGATGCCGAGACCCTTGGTCGGCAGAGCTTCACAGGTCCCACCCACTCCATCCTGCTGGATATGTACCATTGTGTCGAGTTCTCCTTCTCATTTTAGTTCATC